GTTGGCCTGCACTGTGCAGGGGTCAGACTAGCTGATCATAATGGTCCCTTCTGACCTTAAAGTCTATGAGTCTATGAGTCTATAATGTGCCCTTGTAGCCAAGAATATTAGGTTGTATTAGGAGGAGCATTTCCAGCAGATCTAGAGAAGCGGTTATTCCCCTTTATTCGGTTAGGCCACATCTGGAGTGTTGCATCTAGTTCTAGGCTCCCCACTATAGAAAGGCTGTGGACACACTGGAGAGGGTCCAGCGGAGGGCAACCAAAATGATGAGGGGGCTGGAGCACATGACCTACGAGGAGAGGCTGAGGGATTTGGGCTTATTTAGTCACAGAAGAGAAGAGTGAGGGGGGGTTTGAGAGCAGCCTTCAACTTCCTGAAGGGAGGTTCCAAGAGGAAGGAGAGAGGCTGTTCTCAGTAGTGACAGGTGGCAGAACAAGGAGCAATGGGCTCAGGTTACAGTGGGGGAGCTCTGGGTTTAGGAGGGTGGTGAAGCACTGGGATGGGTTCCCTAGGGAGGTGGTGGAATCCCTGGAGGTTTTTAAGTCTTGGCTTGACAGGGCCCTTGGCTGGGTTGATTGAGTTGGGATTGATCCTGCCGTGGGCAGGGGGCTGGACTCGATTCCTGAGGTCTCTCCCAGCCCTGGGATTCTATGACAATGACAGTCGATGGCTTGTCACTCAGAGGTGCCCTGGTGATTCCTGTCTGGCCCATAGAGGTAAGTGTGACCCTACTCCTGCTAGCCAAGTTCTCCTTTAGATCAAGCAGGAGAGGCCTGTGTGTCCAGGCCCTCCCACTGACCCTCGAGGCCCCTTTGCGGACAGGGCTGCAGAAAGCTACTTCCCAGAGCAAGGGGAATTTGGGACAGGCCGGTGGAGATTGCTGGCAGGGGGCCAAGCTGTTAGGACAGGGGTGGGCAATAATTTTTGACCAGGGGCCACTTCAAACTATTTGCGGGCCATCCCGGAAGAGGTGGGCCCAGGACTCTTCCCTGCTTCCCCACCCACAGATCCTGATTAGCTTGAGTGTGAGGGGCAGCGCGAAGTCTCCCTCCCTGCCCTCCAGCGTGCGGCACTTACAGTCAACCGCCAGGGTTAGCACTAAGCGCCGCGTGCTCCCTGCCCCATGGCCCTGATTGGCCTGGGGGCGGGGTAGCGGCAGGACCTCCACAGGCCGAATCAACCTGCTTGGTGGGCTGGCTCCGGCCTGCAGAGGCCCTTTTGCCCACCCCTGTGCAAAGAGCTTTGCAGGGGAGCGGCCTGCGAGCCTCCCAGGACCTCGCTAAGAGGCGGAGCTGCTGGGCTGACTGCATGGAGCAGTGACGTGGGCAGGAGTGTCGCATGTACCCACGTCCATCCAACATGCCCATGCACGCACAGGAGGGAGCTGCATCCCAGGGCTCTCGGCACACAACTGCAGTGACAGGTTTACCTGAGGAGAGGTGAACCCGCCCGCTTACTGTGCCCGTTCCCACTGCCTTTCTGGCTGGGCTTTGCTAGAGGATGCCAGGCTGTGCGGGGCCATGGCTTGTTGGGGAAAACAAAGGCCTGCTCCCCAAGAACCTGCTAGTTTATTCAACGGAAAACCTCACCCAAGCAAGGGAGCCCAAGTGGGGGGATCTGTGGAAGTTTAATTATTCGCTTCCTTCCCAGCACGTGCCCTAATACACCTCCTCTCCTTCTGCTTGTTTGACTTGCAGCCAACACGGACCCTGCCCACAAAGCAAACTGCCATTCCCAGGCAGCCTGGCCCCTGCCAGCAAACAGTGAAATAATGAAAGCAGATGGCAGCCGAGGAGCTGGGGGGACTGGTCACTGTCGCATCAGCAGCTGGGGGCTCCAGAGACGGGCTGGGACCTCAGACTTCAATGCTTAAGGAAATAAACCCCCCATCCCTTCCGGATGCTGGTCCCAGGGGAGTTCAGGGTCCGTCTGTACGGCAGCCAGCCACTAAAAGCAGCAGGGCTAGTCTCAGCATTAGACAGCATATGCAGCCGCCCGAGGACGTCTCCAGGAGCCGGGTGGAATGGGGCTGGCTAGCACGTCACTTGAGCACTGAGGGCCTGATGCAAAGACCCTCCCACCCCACGTTACTGGAAGGCTCAGACCCCCCCACCTCATCTGCCCCGGGGCAATGGTCTCACTGCCGTTCGCTGCTCCCCCTTCCAGCCAGGTGCCTTGCCCCCTCCCGTTCTGCTAAGTGGTGATTTCTTCCCTAAGACCCCTCCCGCACGGAGCTAGCTCGCTTTCCCTGCTGGGCTGCCAGCCGCCCGCTGCTGTCCTGCATTCCGCGCACGGCCCAGGCCAGGCCCAGCAGCAGCGGGATGGCAGGTCACACTGGGAGCACAGGCCAGAGAACACGCGGGCCCAGGCGCTCAGCGAGCTCCTGCCTCCCTCCATCTCCCCACTCCTGCCAGGCACCATCTTGCTGGGAGTGAGAATGTTGCCCACATCTCTGGACTAACTCACCTGTGCAGTGGGAGCCTGTTTCCACGGCGCCATTTCAGGCACACGGGAGCAGCCGTGCGCTCCGGGATGCAGCCGGCTTTTCATCCCATTCCCTGGACTCTAAGGGAGCGAGGGGAAAGTGCCTGTCGCACTGGCTGCTGAGCTCCCTTCATGCACACAATGCAGGCATTTTCCCCTCACTCCCTTAGCATCCAGGAAACGGGATGAAAAGCCAGCCCCATCCCTGGGCGCACGGCTGCTGCCCCCCGCCTTTGCCTGCTTCTAATCCATCACGCCCCGGTCTCTTTGGGAGCATCCACAGGCCCTGGGCAGCTTGCTCCAGGAAGACAGTGCAGCGCATTCTGTCCGCTGCATTCGCCTTACCTGCGCTGGAGGAGCCAGTCGCCCCACAGGAGGGCCCAGCACTGCTGCTCGCTTGGCCGGCCTGATGGCTGCTGGTGGGTGTTTTCCTGGGTGGTGACACTTGGGGCTGCTGGGTCCTGACAGATTTTGTAGCCTCCGTTGGGGGGTCTGATCTCTGCTGATGCACCTCTGGCCTCGTATCAACCTTGCTGACCATGTCCCTCTTGGGGGGGGCCAGGGTAATGTATACGGAGGAGGCAATTCTCTTCTCCACCTTCCCAGACAGCATCTTCGACCCAGGGGCCCTGCAAGGGACAGAAGCAATGAACAGAGCCAGGAGCAGCTCTCTCTACTTCTCCAGTCCCTCTCTTCCTGGGGAGCATTGCTCCCGCCCAGCCTAGTTCCCACACCACGTGAACACAGAGCCGCCCCCAGCCAAGCACCTCCCACACGGAGGCTCTCCTGTTCCCAGCAGCCTCAGGCATGTGTGCAGTGCTGGCTGTTTGAGGCAATGCCCGCTGCTCCAGAGGCAATACAATCATTTCCTCTTTGGCCAGTGCACTGAGTTTTTGTGCTGCACACACCCTGGCGTTCAAAGTCTTCTTTCCTGGAAAGGAAAATCAGGAAACAAGTAACCAGCCAACCCATGCAGCACCAGATACCGTCCACTAGCAGGGGACCCAGGGGAGTCTAGCAAAGTATTCGAACAGCAAAGTGCTGCGAGGACCCTGGAATAAGGTCTCTCAACAAACAAGGTGCAATGACCACTTCGCTCACTGTCCCAGTTCCTGTTACTGAGGAGGAAGCTTGGTCATTAAAGTAGGGCAAGGGCTGACTTCTGTTCTGCACCCATTTTCAAGCAGGGCCTCCCAGCCTCCTCCCGTGCCTCAGTTTCCCCATCTGTACAATGGAGATGACGACAGGGATCTACGTCACAGGGCACCACAAAACTTAACTCATAAGATACTGAAAGGGAAAGTGTTAGAGGGTTATTATAAGTGACTAGCCAATTAACCCGTCGTAAGACGGGATTTTCAGGTCTCTCTTCCACATCGGTCTTCTCTCCTGAGCCTCCGGTCTCTCGTTCCGTCTCCCTCCCTCTCTCTCTCTCGCCTCCTATTGTAATTTCATAGAGATACCTACAAAGAGTTCATAATCTCACATAGAATAAATTGTATAGACAGATTTCTAAACCACACCAGGTATACTCCTGTGTTCATAGCTCCACAGAGGAAATACCCAACTAATAAACCCAGCAGGGTATAGAAGCAGAATGGAGTAAAGACAGGCTTCCCTGGGGCTCCTTGGGGCAGCATGAAATTGGGGTAGGACACCAGGCTGAGGAAGTGGATGGTATGACACGTGTTTACAGATGTTTCCTGGGCATGATTTGGAAATGGAATGGCTGGATTTCATTCAGACAAGTTAGATTATGTATCAGACATGGTCAGGAAGACTCATGAGGCAGGGGGAATTCCAGAGGGCTATGGGTGTGTGGGGAGCATCCATCCAAAGGGCACGCTTGAAGAAAGTGAGGAAGGTGTGAGGCAAGGGTCCATTCACCTCCTGGAGCACACAACAGGTGATACAGGATTGACAAACCTGGGCATTAGCTGAGCACTGTAGGCTTCACACAGTCCTTCTGGACATCATCCAACAAGTCTCCAGGTCTGGTAATATCAGCTAGGACCAGCTTCCAGTATTTGAAATTTTTGCAGTGAATAATTCAGGGGTTTGTAGGAAGAGCAACAAGGACAGAGCTCCTTAACTTTGGAAGCCCCGAGGGCCACAGTGATACTCACAGCACATGCCGAGGGCTGCAACTTAAATGTGGTTGCATAAACATGCAAATATATTCTTTCACACTGACAGACATGAATACAAAGATTAAGGCAAGACTACACAACACGCAGGCCCCATTTAAGTCAGTTCTGCTGATATTAATAAAATGCAAAATTTACCCAATTCCCATCCATATGACAGCACTTTTAATGAGCAATGACAGTCCAGGGATTTAACTACTAAAACACATATCAACCCAAACCGCACCATAAACTGTGATTTGCACCACGGGCCGCAAACAGGCCACAGGCGGCCCATGGGCTGCATGTTGAGTAGCTCTGAATAAGGATCTAATGGTCAAAGCAGTGGAATGCTCCCCTGAAGAACTGAATTCTACCCAGCCTTTGCCTGTTTGATGTTGGGCAAAAACCAAAATTTTCCCAGGTGGTCACTCTATGTGTGTTCATCTTTTCTGGGTGCCCAACTTGAATCGCTGATTTGCAGAATTGCTGAGCTTTCACACAACTGCAGCTGAAATCAGTGGGGATATGTCTACACTACCCCGCTAGTCCGAACTACCTAGTTCATGCCCCGTGTAGCCGCGCTGCACGGGGTTCGAACCAGCGGGGTTTTAAAAATGGCAGCGCCCCTCTGATGCAAATGAAGCCTGGGAAATTCAAACCCCAGGCTTCATTTGCAAGTGCGGTATGCATACATTACCCCGCTAGTTCGAACTAGCGGGGTAGTGTAGACATACCCGAAGAAACTTCTCTGGTGAGTTTTTCAGCACAGTATTTGGGGACAAAGCCACCACGTGGCTGGAAACTGCTGGCTAAGCGCCTCTTGCCTGCTGTGCTGGAAATCGACCCCCGTAGGTCAGTGAGAGAAGGAGCACTGGCACTGAGCTTGGTTATTGCCTGTGGATCTCTGACGCACGCAAGCCTCCTCTTCTGGTGAACTTCAGGGGCACATGGGTGGCCCCAAAGGCTGAGTGTCATAAGAGGTGGCTGTTGACCAGAGCTGTCCCTAGGATGGTGTGAAGTCTGGGGCAACCCCCTCATCCCAGGCCTGCCCCCCTTCCCATCCCCATTCGCCTTGCACCCAACCCCCATGCCTGCTCGCCCAAGAGATAGATACAACTACTGTGTATCTGGATCATGTCCCTTTAAGGCAGAACCCTGCTCCCCCATTACCATGCCAAGAGCGCCCCTGTGAGCCACGCATGTGCAAGTCATGTGCCATACAAAGCTATGCCAGGGGGCCCTACATAGGAACATAAGAACGGCCACACTG